GTGGATGTTGGTGTTGATGTTGAGGCCTACTACTTGATGAAGCATTCATATCTGGCTTGTTTCCACCATAGTTATTTCTCCACCCCTGATTTGAATTTTGCGGATAGGGGTGTTGAGAGAAATTTTGCCGCCCTTGATTCCCCATATAATTCACTTCTTCACCTTGGGAATTAGATGATCCGGCACAATAACCATTAGGGTGGTCACCTCCACAAAAATCACATGCCATAACTTGTTGCATAGGAGAGGCATTAGCGTGCATAGCTTGAAGTTGTTGAGGAAGCTTGGCCATTTGTTGGTTCAAGGCTTCAATTTGTTGGGAAAGTATCTTGTTTTGAGCTAACACCGCATCTTGGGTACTCAGCTCCAAAACTCCTCTCTTGTGTGAAGAGCTTCTACCATGCTGTTCTCTTCTTGGTGAGGAGATCTTTCATGAACTTGGCATATGTAGGCATTTGCTCTAATGCCTCGGAGAACGGAATGTTGATCTGCAAGGTCTTGAAAATCTCTAAGAACCGAGCATATTGCCTCTCCTTATCCCTTCTTGAAGGTGCATGAGGATATGGTAAGCTCTTGGTGGGTGGCACCTTCACTAGAAAACTATATAAATGAATTTGTTGTAGCTTGTTAAGGAACTTTGGTGTTATGATTACGAAACTTAGTGGAATGGTTAATCTTGTTTGCAGTTTCATTTCATTTTCCTTGCAATTGTGAATTTTTTTGTAGTTTTTTTAAACCTAGTTAGGTGCACTCCTTTGGCAATTATGAATTGTTTTGTAGTTTTTTTAAATCTAGTTAGGAGGCTAGAGGACTTGATGCTGGGCCACGCCTGGTGAAAAAATTAGCATGATTTTTTTTAATGCAATCTACATCGGTTTTCTTGAGAATCGATGTAGATTTAAGCATAAATCTACATCGGTTCTCTGAACAAAAGATGTAGATTTAAGCATAAATCTACATCGGTTTTTCAGAACCGATGTAAAAATGTATATATGTTCTACGTCGCTCTATTCTACATCGGTTTTAGAACAGATGTAGATGCCTTTAGAGAACCGATGTAGAATATGCATCTTGTAGTAGTTCTTTTTACTTTCATCTTCTTTTAAAGGACATGGCTCAAAGGTTTACATTACTAAAGGACATTGCAGTGGGAAGAATTGACTGAAAGATAAGAGTTCGTATAATAAGATTATGGAGACTGCTAGAGTTTAAGAATTCATTGCAAACAAATTCCTTGGAGATGATTTTGGTGGATGAAGAGGTTTTTTTTTCATAAATTATAACAATTATAAATTTCATTGTTGGATAGTTTAGTTTTTGTTTTTGCTTCTGTTTGAAATTTTCATCTTCACTAAAAAAAATATGATTAGTGAAGATATTATTAAAAGTTTTATTCTTTTTACTTTCATTCTCTTTTTAAAGGACATGACTCAGAAGTTTACATTACTAAAGGACATTGCAGTGGGAAGAATTAACTAGAAGATAAGAGTTCATATAATAAGATTTTGGAGGTTGCCAGAGTTTAAGAATGCATTGCAAACAAATTCCTTGGAGATGATTTTGGTGGACGAAGAGGGTTTTTTTTCATAAATTATAACAATTATAAATTTCATTGTTGGATAGTGTAATTTTTTTTTGTTTTTGCTTCTCTTTGAAATTTTCATCTTCACCAAAAAATATATGATTAGTGAAATTATTAAAAGTTTTATTCTTTTTACTTTCATCTTCTTTTTAAAGGACATGACTCAGAAGTTTACATTACTAAAGGACATTGCAGTGGGAAGAATTAACTAGAAGATAAGAGTTCATATAATAAGATTGTGGAGGCTGCCAGAGTTTAAGAATCCATTGGAGATGATTTTGGTGGATGAAGAGGTTTTTTTTTGTCCATAAATAACAATTATAAATTTCATTGTTGGATAGTGTAATTTTTGTTTTTGCTTCTCTTTGAAATTTTCATCTTCACCAAAAAATATATGATTAGTGAAATTATTAAAAGTTTTATTCTTTTTACTTTCATCTTCTTTTTAAAGGACATGGCTCAGAGGTTTACATTACTAAAGGACATTACAGCGGGAAGATGAGTCACCACAAAAAAAATGATCATTGATATGAGTTGTATATAGTGTTGCACTCTATGAGAGGAACTCAAAGACTTTTGAAAGTTGAAACAAAACTCAATCTCTTTCATTAAATATTCAAAAGTGACAAACAAGAGAGGGTACACTCCTATATATAGAGTTTGTTAGTTTATAGTGCAAGTTAAGCTAATTAAGACTACGCATCCCAAAGTTAAGTTAATTTTTATACTCACGCCAACTTACTATAGTTGACCAAATTTGAAGTTCAAATTTGAATTTCAAATGGTTTAGGTGCCCAAATCCTAGATCCAAACCAACCAATGAGAGTTATACAAGAGGCATGGTGTGGAAGGTGTGATGGCGGGTGAAAGAGTAAGAAAAGTGGTGTAGAAGTAAACATGCAAACAATGTGATTAGGTATGGAACATGTGACTAGGTGGGTGTTGTGTGAAGTCAATAAGAGAGCATGAAGCAAACAAGGAAATGAATTCCTATTCTAAATGACCAAACAAGCCTAATTTTAACACACTTTTCAAATATTAGTTGCGCCTTCTTGGAATACTCTAAAGGAAAAATTAATTATAAGGAAATGAATTCATATTCTAAATGACCAAAATACAAGGTCAAGAAATAAAAGAAAAAATATTCAAAGAAGACATGAACTATATATTAAGTAACCTATAGCTCAGTATGAGCTTAGGCCTTCTACCTTCATCCCTAACTCATTCCTCTTGCATTCTTCTAGACATAGTCCTTATGATAGGTCCTTTGTAGGGTAGAATTAATTCCATCATGCTTACTATGCCAACCCTCAAAATGTCCCCCCTCCTACATAAAAACATGCATATTAAGTTGAGTCATAAACAAATTTCTAAATATAAAAGTATAGTGAAACAAAAAGAAAAAGGAGGAATGACCTTCAAGCATTGATCCACATGAAAGCATATATAGCTTTATGTACTTAACTAGTTATTCTTAGTTTTCAAACTTTCTTCTTCTTCATCAAATTTATGTGAATCAAATGCTATGAACTTAACACTACAACAAAATTTAGTATTACCAACAATTATTTAATATAATGGCAATAAATTAATTGCCTCTATTTTATTATTTAATAAAAATATTAATTACTATTATATAATTTCCACTAAAAATGTATTTACATCACATTAAAATTTACTATTAGCGACAATTATTTGTTAGAAAAAACTTAAGTCCCACATCGTCTAGAAATAAAATAATTAAAGAGTATATAAGTGAATGATAACTCTCACCTTACAAGTATGTTTTATAAGGTTGAGTTGGGCCTATAACTTACTATTCTAAATTGGTATTTAGGAGATAAGATAATTAAAAAAATTAAAGAATATATACTTAGAAGATAACCTTCATCTTCTAAGTCTCACATCAATTAGAAATAAGGTAACTAAAGAGTATTTGTACTCATCTTACAAGTCCTACGTCAACTAGAAATAAGATAATTAAAGAGTATTATAAATCTTTTCTTAAACTTTTAGCGGCAATTTTAAATGCCAGTAACAAATGACACAAAAATTTATACACTTTTCCCGACCATTATGAGGGTCTTTACCCGCATGTAGAATAATTGCTGGTAAATATTTTAGTGACACTGCATATAATGGCTAATGTGTGAAATGCCGGTAAAAAATTTTGTAGCAATTTTTATTGCTACTAAAAGTCATATTAAATGCCACTAAAAGTCTATTTTATTGTAGTGTAATTTTCATGCGTACTACAATGTAATCCTTACTTTGATGAGTGAACTCCCTTGAAACTTATGATACTAGTTTTCTTATTTTTCTTTTTGGCCTTAGCATTTTGAGTCACAACAAAACTTGGAGCCATTGCTTGATGATTTAAAAATGCTCTATCTGATCTGAAGTATAAAATTGATAAAAGTATAACCACTCTAATGAGATCGTGGAGTTGAATAAGGCTCGTTTGAGTAAACTTAATTCTTCACAAACACTTGTAAGGAGAAAAATAGGAAGGAAAAGTGAAATAAGCTACTTCTTAAGCTAAAATTAGTTTATGCATAAATTAATTTATACAAGTTTTTTCCTATTTTACTTCTTCAAAATCTTATTTTTAATTTATGAATAAACTAATTTCAGCTTATACAAAAAATTTATTTTAATTTTTCTTCCTATATTTTTTCTCTCTCTTGTAAGTACCCCTGAAAAAACATAAAAATAGGTCCTAAAGCTAATGACTTTTGTTGTTGTCACTATAACAAAATTTGTTATTAACGATAATTATTTAATGACAATAATTTAATTGTCCTCATATATAAAAACATTAATGACTAATATATAATAGTCACTAAAAATATACTTATATTACACTAAAATTTACTACTAGCGACAATTATTTATTAGAAAAAACTTAAGTCTCACATCGATTAGAGATAAGATAATTAAATAGTATATAAGTGAGTAATAACTATCACCTTACAGGTTCATTTTATAGGGTTGACTCCTAATTTACTATTTTAAATTGGTAGCAAATCACTCATTATTATCAAATTCAAGAGCGTTATAAAACAATTAGAGAGAAACTTTTACCTTATAGATCTCACATTTCTTAAGAGACAAGAAAATTAAAAAAAATAAAGTAAAAATATATAAATAAAAGACAACCCTCGTCTTACAAATCTCATACCGTGTAGAGATAAAAAAAAGTATATAAGTTATGAATTTAGAAAAGGAAATTATAGGAATAAATTATTTAAAATAAAAGAGAAAATTAAAAAAAAAATTAATAGCCTTTAAAATGACTACTAGAATTGTCACTAAAAATATAAGTTTTTCCGACAATTATTAGTAGATCTTTACCAGCATTTTATATAAATGCTGGTAATAGTATTAGTAACACTAGATACACCAGTCTTTATTTAAATGCTGGTAAAAAAAATAATGGTCATTTATATGGTTGCTAGATAATAAATTAATTATCACAAAAAATTAATTTTGATGTAGTGTGTATATATCAAGTTCCTTCAACATGTGTATCATTGGGAGAATAAGGATATGTGAACCTAACATCCTCCATGCTACTAAATGCTCGGTTTACATAAACTCCAATCCATTCGACCACTCCTAAACTACGATCTTCTTCAGAACCCATCGTAATCAAAACATCCCCTCGAATCCACTCTTTTGTAGAAAGTGCTCTTTCAATAGCCAAATCCAATGGATGGTGGAAATGAGGTTGAAGGTTGAGCACAAATATATGGCCATTCTTAGAAACACAATCGACTTTACCCCAACTGAAACAAGAAACACATATCCCAGTATCATTGATACTAATGAAGAAATTAAACTTCATATGGTAAGGAGGCTTGATATCATCACAAACTCTTAAAACAACACACCCAGTGAGAGAAGGAAAATGATTACGAAACCATAAACACATAGAGTTTCCCTTAGTAGAGTGGTCAAACCATTCTGGGATTCGTTGACCTTGGAGAGAATAACAACATATTGTAGAAGAAACAATTGCCTGTTAAACATGTTATAGGGCGAATTTAGGATACGACAAAGCTAATTATATAAACAAAAAATATAGAAGAGAGACCTACCCGTCTGAGTAACATGTTTAAAGTTGAAGAATCAGCTTCCACGAGAGTTCTATGTGCCCAAAAGTGAGTTGTGTTTCGTGGAAGCCCTCTAATTTCTTGAAGCCTCTTACAATTAGAAACATCTAAATGTTTCAAGGAGTGACATTTTTCAATGCATCCTGGAAGTATAGTCAAATTTGAATCTCGTAAAATCAATTGTGTCAAATTGTGAAAGAACTGTGGTAGCATTTGAAAGAAATTGAACGACCCATCAATTTCAAGCTTTTTGCATCCCTCTAGGGATAAGATTTGAAGGCCCTCAAGATTTTGCATTGAAAGTGGAAGCCCTTTTATGGAAGTTCCTCCCAAGTCAACAAATTTTAGTTTGTTCATTGGTAACAATATTTCTGGAAGAATAACAAGATTGATGCAGTTGCGAAGACTAAGATATTCTAGAGATGTCAGCTTTATGCCACGTGGACAAATCATGAGCTTTGTACATCCTTCGGCACAAAACCTTTGAAGATTATGCAAGTATCCAACAGAATCATGAATCTTGGTCAAATTTGTGCATTCACAAATACACAATTCAGTCAAACTTGGGAAACAAGATATGTTTGGTATTCTTCTTAGATATTTACAGCCTCTCAGAATCAAGTGTCTCAAAAATTTTGAATTCTGCAAAATAATAAATAAGTCTATATTAATAGTTTGAAGAATCAGGCATGGTGGGTTTAATAGTAAATAAATAAATGTCACATAACGTATAATTAATTGTACATGCCTGGAGTGGTTTGGCCCATTGAAAGTAACTATATGACAAGTTGAGTATTACAAGATTCTTCAAATGAAAATTAGATGGTAAAGAAGCTCTAGGATATCCCAACCATTCCAATACTCTCAACTCGTTTGGGAGATCTTTAAGGCTTCTAAAACACTTCGGATTCCTTTTTATTAGCATCATTCGTAAGTTTTTCAGTTTTCCAAACACCTTTTGATTCCATTTCACTTCTTGATCTTCTGGCATGTCTAGCATCATGGCTTCAATTTCATCATTTTCCTTTCAAATAAAAAACAAAGAACCACAAAATTTAGAACTTAAAAATTATAATTTCGTTTATTTTCTTCTAGTTAATAAAAGTTAAGGATCATGAAATGTAGTACAAATTTAACTAAAGAGGTAGTGAAAGAGATGGAAAGGAAAACTATTACTTACCATGTTTCTCTCCAAAATGCTTACAATGTCCTCATAAGACCATAATGATCTGTTTCGTTTTTGAGCACTAGTTGATTGTTGTATAACTATTTCTTTTCCCATATGTTGAATCAAGTCATGCATTCTCACAAATTTATTATCATATCTGTCAATTTTAATGAGTGACTTTTCTTCTAGAATTTTAATTCCAATCTTTGGATGAAAATCTCTTGCCTCGAACATATTTGTAACATATCTCAAAGGGTAACCTCTAAAGAAGCAAGCTATGTCAAGAAATATTTCCCTCTGGTAAGTATCCAAACTATCATAGCTAACTCTAAGAAGTTTTAGAATATCTCTATTTGGAATTCTTTCATATGTTTTTAATGCAGAATCCCATTCATCAAATGATTTACCGAACAAGTTTGAGCCTATTATTTCTAAAGCCAGTGGAAGGCCCTTGGCATAATATACTGCATGTTTTATGAGTTCCATGTAATTTGGATCAACTTCTTTGTTTTTGAAAGCATTCCATGTAAACAATTTATGAGCTTCAATATCATCCAATTCATTAACCTCGTACAATTTTTCAACATCATGAATATGTAACAAATTCTTATCCCTTGTTGTTATAATGATGATGCTTCCTAAACCAAACCAATCAAGACCTCCAGCAGTTGCTTCTAATTGTTCCTTTTTGTCAATATCATCGATAACAAGAAGGATTTTTTTCCGACAAAGTCTTTGTTGTAGCAATGGAATTCCTTGATTAACATCTCCCAACTTGATATTTCTCTCCCCAACTAATTCATAAAGCATTGTCTCTTGGACTTGCACAAGGCCATGCTTAGTTGATGACTTTTCTCTAACATCAGCAAGAAAACATGTACCTTCAAATTGATGCATTATCAAATTATAAAAGGCACGTGCAAGAGTTGATTTTCCTATTCCACCCATCCCGTGAATTCCAATTATGGTCACTTTGTTTAGTTTGTTATCAAACTCAAATCCCACAAGTCTTTGTATATCTTCCACTCTTGTTTTCAATCCAACAGGATAATTAGCAATATGTAAGGGACATCGATTAAGATTACACGAGACCTCTTTTGTGATCTTTTTAATGAACTCAAACTCGTATTCTTCCCTGTAATTAATAAAACGTGAAATTAAATTAGTGCTTCTAATTCATGGCTAGTTTCCAAATCATCATTAACAATTAATTACTTTAGTATCATATACTTTTTGGCAATATGGTATTATTTTTGGATAACCACAATATTGGTAGGAATTAATGACTAATCTCCGTTGAGGATCTTAAGCACATAAGATTGATATTCCTCTTATAACATAGTCTATTATATACTCAATATTAAGATTTGAGCCCTGAACAAATTGGTTAAAAGATACAAATCATTATCACTTATGTCAACCAATGTTGGTACAACATGATGTTACCCTTATAGATTTTAGTCTTTATTTTTTAATGAGTATTTTTATTTTACTCGTTTTTAAATAATTTTTTTTAGAAATTATTGTTCTTCTCATTTAGATATATAATTTGCAGTTTTAAAATTCGAGTTATTAAATCAACTAAAGTACTGGGTCAATTAACAAGTCATTGGTTAAATTGTTGGGTTATTGTTACCACTACTATAACATTGCTATCACAACCACCATTATCATTACTATCATTTCCACCATTACCATTGTTGGTAACGCCATCATTGCTACCATTGCTGATAACAATGACAATGACGACACGATGGAGGTGGTGGTTGTGAGGTGGAGGTGGCAAGGAGTTTAATAACGATCTAATAGTGATGATACATAACAACTTTACTTGTAATCTTTTAATATAAATCATTTATTTTAATTTAAGAGTTATAATTAGTTGTTATCATATTCTCATATTAATAATGGTTCTTGGTCGAGCCACCCCCTATATGTGTGTGTGTATATATATATATCAACTTGGTGGTTCTCTCATACAAAGGTGGATGTTGGTGTTGATGTTGAGGCCTACTACTTGATGAAGCATTCATATCTGGCTTGTTTCCACCATAGTTATTTCTCCACCCCTGATTTGAATTTTGCGGATAGGGGTGTTGAGAGAAATTTTGCCGCCCTTGATTCCCCATATAATTCACTTCTTCACCTTGGGAATTAGATGATCCGGCACAATAACCATTAGGGTGGTCACCTCCACAAAAATCACATGCCATAACTTGTTGCATAGGAGGAGCATTAGAGTGCATAGCTTGAAGTTGTTGAGGAAGCTTGGCCATCTGTTGATTCAAGGCTTCAATCTGTTGGGAAAGTATCTTATTTTGAGCTAACACTGCATCTTGAGTGCTCAGCTCCAAAACTCCTCTCTTGGGTGAAGAGCTTCTAGCATGCTGGCTCCTAAAATCAGTGGAAGCCATGGACTCAATGATTGTGATAGCCTCTTCAGCAGTTCTAAACATGACTGACCCTCCAAAAGAAGCGTCCAATATCATCTTGGTTTGAGGTTGTAACCCATTACAGAAAGTTTGAACTTGATGCTCCAACTCAAAACCATGATTGGGGCACCTCCTCAACAGTGATTTGTACCTTTCCCACGCTTCACATAATGGCTCATCCGCACCTTGAGCAAAAGTAGCAATAGCAGTTCTAGCTTCAGTGTTCTTGGACGGGGGAAAGAACCTGGCTAAGAATTTAGTCTCCACATCCCTCCAAGTGATCAGGCTTTGGTTTGGCTAAGAATGAAGCCAAGCCTTAGCCTTCCCATTCAGAGAAAATGGAAACAACCTCATGAATAGCGCCTCTTCATCAGCCCCAGAAACTCCAACTGAACCACACAACTCATAGAAAGTGTAGAAATGAGTATGTGGGTCTTCATGATCCAGGCCAGAAAATTGATGAGAGCTGATAAGCTGTAGAAGTGCAGGCTTCATTTCTGCTAGTCTGTCATTCATGGTAGGCCTCACAATGCTAGAGAACTCCCTCGAGCTAGTGTAGGTTAAAGCATCACCTATAGTGCGCCTCCGGTTTTGATTGTCATTGTGAGCACCACCTTCACCTTCCATAGTGAACTCAGGAATGTTAGAGACAATAACTTCAGGAATCCAAGTGGTTGGTTGGCCAACTGGATTTGCTCTAGCCCTCCTTCTTCTCCTGTTGCTATTATTCCTCATTGCCGTGCGTTCAATCTCAGGATCGTTCAACAGTGGCTCAGAAGAATTTGTACCTCTGGTTTGAATAGTACCTTGCATACAAGAGAAAACAAAAGACTAGAGTGCACAAGTCAACCCAAAGAATTCATTTGCGAAAATTAGCAATAAAAGTAAAGGAACAAGTCACAAATAGCTATAAATACTAAATTGCCTTGCTAATCCCCGGCAACAGCGCCAAAATCTTGTTGAGAATTCCGTTAAAACCACTTTTGTTATCACTTTAAATTACTTTTGTTTTGTCAACGGTCTCAAACACGACAAGTATACCGGCCGTTCAAGTAGTAAAATTATCGTATCCACAGGGATTAGAAGGTAACATAAGCATTTATTGACTATTCGTGACTAAAGAAAAATTCCAAATTCATAGTTTGTCATGCAAGTTGAATCAAAAAGTTATGACTATTGGAATAAAAGCTATAAAATATTTGTTGTGAGTGGAAAAGGGTAGAAATGATATTATGGTTTGCATAGCTTGAAGTTGTTGAGGAAGCTTGGCCATCTGTTGATTCAAGGCTTCAATCTGTTGGGAAAGTAT